TCTCATGCTACTTTCCTCTCACGTAGGCAACTTCCCTCAAAAATACTTCTCCCAAATCACTCCCCTACCACCAACTACTCCAAAATCACTCCCTATCAACACTGCCTCAAAGTCGTTCCCCTAAGACCAGCTAGCCAATTAGCGTCCCTCAGTTCATTTTTAGTGCCGTCCCCAGGTGAAGGTTCTGTTCCTCTTCCTCCCCCTCTCCCCAACCCCTGCCCCCTTTCTCCCCCCTACCTCTTCTCCCCCCAACCCTGCCCCCTCCCCCCGGCATCATTCAGAGTAGGGTGGCCGGCAAAGCGGGGTGGTGGAATGGTGTGTCATTGACTGGCTGGTTATCTGAGGTGGCTTGCTGGGTGGGTAGTTGGTGGTGGCTTGCTGGGTGGGTAGTTGGTGGTGGCTTGCTGGGTGGGTAGTTGGTGGTGGTTTGCTGGGTGGGTAGTTGGTGGCTGGCTGGCTGGCTGGCTGAAGGTGAGGGGGGGGGAGTGAGGGGTAGGAGGAGGGGGAGAGACATTAACATAGAGATGAGGGAGTCTTCTCTCTCCTTCCTACTGCCATCCATCCTCTCACCGCTGCTTTACATCCTGGTGGGGGGGGGGATAGGAGGAGAGGTGGGTGGGGGAACTTAGGGGGAGGAGACGTAAGAGGTAGTGGAGAGGAGGAGGGCGTAGGAGGTGTTCCCATAGGCTTAGTTCTATTCTTGCTGATTGTCTATGTCTTTGTGCGTATAGTCTCTCTCTCTCTCTCTCTCTCTCTCTTTTTCTATCGCCCACCCCTCTCTTGCTACACACACACACACACACACACACAGACACACACTCACACAGACACACACTCACACTCACACACACGACTTCTACTTGATTAGTTTTCATTTTACTTCTATACTCTTACCATCTCTCAGAAGTTTTCCAATTTCAAGTCCCACTGAAAATCGAAATGGCACAGACAGAGAGACAGAGAGACAGACAGACAGACAGACGGACAGACGGAGAGAGAGAGAGAGAGAGAGAGAGAGAGAGAGAGAGAGAGAGAGAGAGAGAGAGAGAGATTTAATACCACCGGATAATAATCAATGTATCGAACAAGCTTGAATAGCCTTGAATATCTAATAAGGGGACTAAGTTTTCTCTTGTCCTGGTTATAATCCGCATGAGATGGGACATTCACTTGAAGATTAGACACCCCCAAAGTTTATTTCACCTGAAGAATAACCACCTAACCTTAACGCTAACCTACCCTAATCTAACCTACCCTAATCTAACCTACCCTAATCTAATCTAACCTAACCTAACCTAACCTTGATCTGTCTCTCCCTTTTCCTTTTGTTTTTCCCTCTTCTTCTCATTCTCTCAATACAAAAAAAAATAATAATATGACTGAACTCGTAACTAAAAATAAATAAATAAATAAATAAATAAATATAAACTGGAACTTACGTCAATAAAAGTTTCATCTTAGTAACTATAGGAATGAAGTTTACACCATGGAGGGGGGGGAGAGGTCTCAGAGGACTTATGACAGACACACACACACACACACACACACACACACACACACACACACACACACACACACACCACAAGCCCTTTACCTAGATGAATTTATGCGCCATTAACCTAACCAGCTAAGTACAGGCGGTACAGACGCCATAAGTAGGTCCCCCTTTCACGAGTGCCATTTTGAAGGGGGTGAATAATAGCAATAGAGGTCATAATCCTGCTAACTAAGGTCATTATCCTGCTAGCTAAGGTCATTATCCTGCTAGCTAAGGTCATTATCCTGCTAGCTAAGGTCATTATCCTGCTAGCTAAGGTCATTATCTTGCTAACTAAGGTCATTTTTCTGCTAAGGTAATTTTTTTATGCTAATTGAGGTCACTTTTGTTGCTAAGGTAATTTTTCTGCTAAACCTAGGGTAATTTTCCTGCTAACTAAGCTTATTTTCCTGCCAAATAAAGTAATTTTTCTGCTAACTAAGGTCATAGTCCTGTCAACAAAGTTAATTTTCCTGCCATCAGCTACCCAATATATGTTAGGATGTGTAAGTAACTTGGTATCTTCTGTATATAATATAATGAGAAAGGATCTGAAGATAATGCAGTGTGTATGGTGACGTGTACTGTAATTCATACCCCGGCCGCTAGGATTCTTCGTGGCGCTGCAAGACGTTATTGGTGTACTGTAATTCATACCCCGGCCGCTAGGATTCTTCGTGGCGCTGCAAGACGTTATTGGTGTACTGTAATTCATACCCCGGCCGCTAGGATTCTTCGTGGCGCTGCAAGACGTTATTGGTGTACTGTAACTATACCCGGCCGCTAGATTCTTCGTATGCTAAAGACGTTATTGGTGTACTGTAACTACACCTGTCAGTTAAGATTCTTCGTGGCGCTGCAAGATTATTGGTGTACTGTAATTCATACCCCGGCCGCTAGGATTCTTCGTGGCGCTGCAAGACGTTATTGGTGTACTGTAATTCATACCCCGGCCGCTAGGATTCTTCGTGGCGCTGCAAGACGTTATTGGTGTACTGCAATTCATACCCCGGCCGCTAGGATTCTTCGTGGCGCTGCAAGACGTTATTGGTGTACTGTAATTCATACCCCGGCCGCTAGGATTCTTCGTGGCGCTGCAAGACGTTATTGAAAAACTTTGATGAAAAGATGTGGCAGGAAAAACTTACCTGACTTATATTGCAGTGGATATTTGCAACGGGTGGTAATGTGTTGTTATGTAACTGCAACAGGAGGTCATGTGTTGCTATGTGTTGCTATATAACCGCAAAAAGAGGTAGTGTGTTGCTATGAGTTACCTAATATACGAAACCTCACATAAACACTTACCCTTATATATATTTCGTAATAAATAAGTGAATAAATAAAGAAGACAAGTTTCGTATACATTTCAGTGTTTGTTGTGGCTTGTAATTCTCACCCCGGCCGCTAGGAGGAGTCCCGCAACGCTACAGGATATCTCAATTTCCTTTACTCGTTATACAAAAAAAAAAAACCCACACAAGGACTTACTAGTTTCCTCGCTTCACTTCTCTAATATTAACGTGGGAGGACTTTCTTCCCTTATCCCAACGAGGAAAAAAGTCGAGGTTTTTTTTGTGAATTTTTTTTCTTCCGGGTTTCATTAAATAGAATCCTAGGATCAGTTTGTTATCTTTTTTATTTTTTTTTATAATTTTCGAGGGTTGAGATGAGTTAGTTATCATAGCCTTGAGAAATAAGATTAAAATAAGTTTTATTTTCTAGGGTTCTTGCATATATCAACATATCAACTACAATACGAAGAGGGATTAATATACAAATACAGCTGAGTTGAAGCTGGTTATAATCTGTGTATATATGATTTTTTTATAAACATGTATGGTGTATATGTATGTTTTATGTATATATTATGTATATTTTTTTATTATACAGTAAAATGAACCATTGCTTTGTCGTTTATACCGTATTTTATAAACCTTTGTGTCAGTGAGAGAAATAACACACACACACACACACACACAAAACTGTTCCATTGTCCAGTGTACAATATGGTCAGTGTATCGCACCACTGACACTGTCCATCTGTTTATGTCTCACACCATTTCCACCACTCAGAGAGAGAGAGAGAGAGAGAGAGAGAGAGAGAGAGAGAGAGAGAGAGAGTTTCTTTATCTTCTCTTCCATGTTTTCGAGATTCAAATATTTGTCTAATCATCACTACATATAACACCACCCATCATCACTACATATAACATCATCCATCATCACTACATATAACACCACATCCATCATCACTACATATAACACCATCCATCATCACTACATATAACATCATCCATCATCACTACATATAACACCATCCATCATCACTACATATAACATCATCCATCATCACTACATATAACACCATCCATCACATCACTACATATAACATCATCCATCACTACATATAACACCATCCATCATCACTACATATAACACCATCCATCATCACTACATAACACCACCCATCACACTACATATAACACCATCCATCATCACTACATATAACCCATCATCACTACATATAACATCATCCATCATCACTACATATAACATCATCCATCATCACTACATATAACACCATCCATCATCACTACAAAATCGCTAAAGTAGTTTCCGAGATTCTCTTGCGGACACACACACACAGACACACAGAGACACACACACACACACACACACACACTCACACACACACTCACACACACACACAAACACACACACAAACAAACAGACAGATTTCTTTGTTTTATATAGATAGATAGACTAAGGCAAAATACACACAAGTTATAGCATAAAGTTTATTTTTAATGAATAACAATATACATGAGGTAGTAGACAGGGAGGTACTGGGAAGATCTTGGAAGCATGAAGTGTTGTCCAATGGTAGACCCTGCTGCCAGATGTGACCAAGTCCCAGGTTTTTTATCTGACTTTTTCTCTCATTTATACATAAGTGCAGGGTTTCAATTGTTTCTCTTACTCTAACAACATAACATGCTGTACATGTATTGTTTCTCACTATTAATTTTTTTTATCTTATTGTTATTATTGTTTTTTTTGTGCCTTGGTGAGCTACTTCCGTAAAAAAAATAATGAAAACAAAAAATAAAAAATCCTTATATGTTTTAGTCTCAAACATAATTGAGAGGCCATCTTGTTGACAGCTGAGTCTTGGGCAGCCTGAGCCTCTCTCTTCAGTGTCTGAACGATACACACTGAAGGAGGTTCGACAATTCTAGTAGGGTTGGCCTCTTTTTTGAGTCCTTATGTTGGGCACCTTTCGCCCATAAGTCAAGGTTTTCGGGGATTTTGTTTTCTAGCACGTGTGGCAACAGCGTGGCCAGCATCCAGCCAAAGCTATAGATATCGTTGGTAGGGTGGCAAGGCTCTCCGTTGAACAGCTGTGGGTCTGTAGACGGGTATGTTGTTGGTGAGTTGTCCCAATATTGTATGCAATCAC